GCCCATTGGTTCTGACCCTCCAGGCGACGAAGTATGACCTATGCATCCACCGGTGGTCTCGGTACCCACAGGGTCGGCCTCACTAGCCTTGGTAGCTCAGCCACGGGGACCACGTTAAGTTGTGCGCCTTCCCACAAGGGTGTTAGAAAGCACACTGTTTTCTTTAGATATTCCAGAGACACCTCGTCTTCACAGGTTATCTTTAGGACTTTCCTTGTGTACTTAATGCCCTTGAAAGCAGCTGTTTGTCCTCCCGATGCCAGGCACTGTTCAAGTTGTCTGTCCAGTGCTCTCAGTGTAGCATCTCCACCTGGTCAGCTTGCCAAATGGATACTGTACGTCAATTACAGCTACACGGAGATGACTTGCAGTTAGCTCCCTATAACTGTGTTCTTTAGAGGTGGTTTGTGCTACCGGAGGTGTGGAGGTTGCAGATCGCACTCTCTTTTTTGACCCTGAGTTCTTTTTTACCCAGGGTTGTTTTGGATTGGGTATTGTAGCCGGCCCTTTGCCTTTAGGCTTTATCCCGGAGAAGGATGAGCCAAATTTGAGGTGGACCCGAAGGCATTCCTCGGTGTGTATGTTTGGTTCCTTATTCATATCTTTGGATTTTGATTTCGTCGTTCTGCGTTCCCATTTACCACGGAATCCAACAAGGGGTCGTCGAACTTCGACCTCAGGGCTAGCAAAAGGGTGTAGCTCCCAGGGAAGCTCGTTCTGCAGTACGCAACCTCAACAAGTGAGGCCACTCGTGCTCAGACTACACTACCCCCAAGGACTCATCGTGGCGGCTTTCTGACTCGACGACGCAGCCGAGTGATCTGAGATCGTTTAGCCTCGACCTCCCGTTTTGGTGGAAATCCAGGCTGAAGGGGCGTGTTGCCCAGCCTTGGTTTTTTCATCCCACCCTACTAGTCCAAGACGTTACTTATATTCTCAAAAATAAAATATATAGGATAAAGTAGTATTGGTATATGCCTTGAGTGTATGCTTACTTGCTAGCTTCGGTCGACGGCCAATTTTCAGGTACCAGGTGCTAAAGGTAGGTAAAAACAGTACTTACATTTCTCAAAGTTTGATTGCTGATTTTAACGGTTGTTTTAGAAAATATTGTTGAAAATTAATTATTAATACTGCAAGACACTTTCCGTCGGCGCGGCGGTCACTTTTACCAGACGCTTTAAAGCTCCCAAAAAAATAATTTAACTTTACTTATAATCTCAGTCTTGATTTTTATACATGACACTCAGGGAACTATTTTAATCATTTTTGTAAGCAACCAGACGAATCGGAGGGGCCAAACAGTCCCCCAGACACACACAAAAAGTCGCTATGTGTATGAGCGCAAGTGTGATTATTAGATAGTTTTACAACATAGCTTTATAAAATTTATATTATTAATAGTCTAATAGGTCTTCAGTAATAATTAAATAAAATTTCCACGCTTAATTATAACCTTAATTATAGCATAATTTAATATTGATTTATTTGAACTCGTAATGAAAATTATGAACAAACCGTTGTTGGAGTTATGAAAAATATTTTTTATTGGATGTACTCGAGAGATTTATGGTTTAAACAGCAATCAATTTAATAAAATAGTAGTTTATTTGCATGTTATGATAAGCAAAAAAACAATAAATTTATTAACAGGAAATTTCAAAATAATTTATTTAAATATCATTAATCATTATTCATCAATAAGCTGTGATTATTTTTCAGTCTTCACTGCCATCATCATTAAAGTTTGATAACTTATCATCAATCCAATACTGGTATTAAGAAAAAATGGCCAAATATAAACCTCGCCCACCCACCTCTTCTGAATTGTAACGAATGTTTTATTCGTCGTGAACTCAAAGGCAGGTGGGTGGTATCATAACCTGTGTGTCCTAGAAATAATTTCAGACTGTTCATAATTTTTCTAATTCAAAACCTCTGTAAAATAATTCAGACATTACATCTAAAAATTTAAAATTTTTACAACAATTAGTGACCTCCACTTTCTTACCTAACAACTTGCCACATTTTTAAAGTCACTTTGGGCTTTGCTTCCGGACTGCAATCAGAGCAATGACAATCACAATTAATTGTTTTATTATTCAAGGTTGAAGATAAAGTGACTATGATAAAGTTCGCTTTAGATTTGCAAGAGATTTTTTTATTAAATCATATTTTATCCTAGTTAAGAGCTTGTCTTGACAACGATATTTTTAATGTCGGTGCTCATTCCTATGCGCTTCTGTAACTTTAAAACCAGTGTAAAGCATCCACTTGCAACGCAAATAAATTTCTTTCAAGAGTGGTTTAACACTCTCGTAATTTTGTTTTAAATGCTTTGAATGGGCAGCAGGAATGAAGACGTATTTATCTGTGTTATGAATGAAGCCAGAGTCCCATTAAACTTTACTTTGAAAGATCTATGAACAGAGTCCATTGCTGCGCTTTCGTGTATTAAGTTCGTAACTGGTGAAATATCGAAGTGAATACTGGTTGCTGTATTAACAAATTTTTGAATATTAATTTTGTGCCTTTCCTTAGATTTAAATCTACTACAAAATTTGGAAGCTGTTCCAAGAATTTAATAAATCGTAATTTCGGACCCTGAAAAAATCAGCATTAATATTTTCTTCATTATGATGATTACGACTATCTACGGATTCGAAAATTTATCCATAAATGAGATCTGAAAATAGAATTTCTTTAAAACATACTTTCATATGGTTTCTGAAACCCCACCTTCATATAAAACAAATACATTTTAAACATATGCGGGTGGTAAACAATTTATTTGTGTGTAAGAAGCCGAATTCAGACTCGGTCTTAAGGTTCAATGTCACTCTGACAGTAGGTCCGGATCTAGATTACGGATTATACAAAAATAGAAACCCGAATCGCATCCGGTTCCGAACCGGAATTGGAAATATGTAATTCGTATCGAGCGAGCACTACTGATCACCCGAAACATTAACAGTGACCTATTGCGTAGTTAACGGCTTTTAGGAAGGAGAAAATGAATTCTATATATGACATTAGCATAATTCAGCCAACTTCTGAATAAAGAGTTATCCACTTGTAAGTAATTATTTCTCTTCCGCTCCGTTTTTAATTTTCATTATAGAGGGAGCGTGATGTAATGAAACTGCTTCGTTCAAACTGACGACACCATGATGAACAAAGAAGCGAATTTTCTTTAGCAATTTTGTCTGACACTAAATGTGGTTAAGGTCAGAGCACAAAGACCATTTAAATAAAATAAAGGAAAATGGTGAGCACGAGTCAATGAAAAACTTGGTCCTAAAACTTGGAGCATAATTTCACGAACAGATAGCAGCCTAGAGAATTCTAATGGAAGAATATTTTATTGCTTTTCATAAGAGTCGCCTCAATCCAGGTCAGAATAGCATTTGTGTAACCGTCTAAAAGAACTGATATCCAGTAAAATTCAAACTCTCGCCAACCACTGAATAACACCCGCGACACTCGTTTATACCAAATAATCGCAGTGAAATGACTTATTTAGTAAGACTAATGTAATAGAAAGTTGTACCTTCATTGTTACCTGATTTTCAATGTTTTAGCACTATGTTGTACAATTTTCTTTGTTGAAAAAATGGTTTAAAGTTATTTCAACACAACTTCTAAATCACTAAATCAAATCTTTTTGTGAAAAGAATTTTAGAATAATTTGTTTTGTTGATTCTTAACACAAAAATAAAACTATATATTTCTATAAATGATTATAGGGTCGAAGTAGGTCATGGAAGTGTGCCGTCTATCACTTTATGCGGATTTTACTAAATGCCCAAGGACTCACGACATATACTACACGCATCTGTTTAACTGGTTGCCCAAATTCTTCAAATCTGATTCAAAAACAAAACTAACTCATTACAATAGAAGGAAACACATTTGTTGTGATTAAATTTTGAAAACATTCACCATTTTGTTCAAGGCACATGTTCATTTTTTTTAATTAAAAAAATGTTCTATAACCTTCTTTCGTCAGTTTCATGTTGCAAAAGGAACTCCTGACTGCTGAGACAATCTTGTCAAAGATGTTTGGTCATTAACGTATACGATAACTGGATAACCTGAAATACAGTCAGTTTCACACATCTCACTTTAAAGAATTCGGATATTACGACCCCAGTTCTAAAACGATTACTATACTGGCCTTTTTAGCCATAAGAAAAGTTAGTTATGAATAATGCTTTAAAGTTTGGCCTTTTACTAGCTGAAATTTTAAAATTTAAATTATGAGCTTATGGCATAAATATCTCCGCCAGTTTTGTCTGTTAAGGATGTTATTTATTCTCGGATCCCTCCCCAACGTCGTTATTTAGTTGTGTTTAACCCTTTCGGGACGGTGAATTTTCCACCCGCTTGTGTCTGAGGAACGGAGAAATGTTGAGGGCCGGTCGTCATACAGTGTCTGTCCATCGAAAGTCTAGGTAACAAGATTTTCGTCGCGAAAGCACTATTTTAAATAAATTAGTTATGAAGTAATAATACTTTAGAAAAATTACTACTATTACTGCAATTCTGGATTTGGGCGAATATCCATCTTAATTATGTTTCGAAGGGATTTAACTGTTTCATAAAAAGTAACATCTTTGATTCGCTTGTATATTTTCCAAGTTTTCTGCTTCAGTTTAATATTCTTAACACTTAACACTTAACAGTTGATTTGACTAATTAATTAATCCATTCATACAGCAATACTTTTACTACGCTAACATAATTAACTGTCAAAAATAAACTACAATCGTCATGCCTCGAACTATTCTCTTTATTCATTCATCTATTTCCTGTATAAGTTAATGCTATCACTTTTAAGCACCTCGTATAAGATCTCTCTTATTTTATGCCGACTATATTTTCTCCCGTTTAAGTTAATAAATAATTCATGCCCCGCTTCGAATTTTGCACAAACCACCCGGCTTTTTTTCCAAAGCTCATTCCCTCCAAAGCTACACACACTCTGTTATTCTTTTCAGCGTCAACCGAGCCCACACCCACCAAACCCAGGACATACGGCGTCCTGAAGTACGGGAATGAGACTCGTCGACGCTCCTCCGGACCCATCGCTGACCTCAAATCCCACATGGAGGCCATCACCCACCGCACCCACCTCGACCTCATCACCACCGAAACGTCGCGTGACCTCGAAACGTTAGTTTTTTCCGTGACGGGAACGCGATCCGCGTTGGACATCGTCGCCGCGTCCGGTGATAACTCCAGTGAGAGTGTTAGCCGAGTGATCCAGCAGGAAATTCCGTGGCCCGTGAAAAAGGAAGCCGTTGTTGAGGGCGATTTGGTGCTCGGCGGGCTGATGATGGTGCACGAGAGGGAGGACACGGTCACGTGCGGGCCGGTGATGCCGCAGGGGGGTATACAGGCTCTGGAGGCTATGCTGTACACGCTCGATAGGCTGAACCTGGGACCGGAAGTTCTTTTGCCGAATATTACGCTAGGAGCGCATATCTTGGATGACTGTGATAAGGACACGTATGGGCTGGAGATGGCCGTGGACTTCATAAAAGGTAGGGGTTGTATTTTTCTCCATGAAGTTTGATTTATGCGTTTCATAACGGTTGTGGCGGTTAACGGTTATATTTATGTGATGCCGTAATTAATGATTCATAAACCAAGTGATTGTTTACTTGTTTTCACTTTGACGCTGGATGAATGATGGTCGGCTACTGGCTAATTTGTGTTTAAAATTTGTTACTAGCCATTTTAGCGAAAGATGTTGAATAGTAACTCATTACGCACTTGGAATTTTTTTTAGTTGAGTATTTAATACAAACATGTATGCTTTAATGATCGGGAATGCAACAAAAGGCTGTGTAATACCCGAAATTATTATTATTTAATATAACTAAGTATAAAATATAAAGTAAGCATCGTTCATACATTACGCATAGAGACTATATATTATCTACTATTATCTGAATATTGAATTTTCCTCTATAATTTTGTTTCCAACTAAGAAAACAATAATCTATCTATCAATCAGCAATCTAGCTGCATAAAATGCCGCATAATACTCTAATTAAGGTTGGTAATTTATTTATGGGTTACAACTAGTGCTATATGTATCTTTGATGATATGAAAATATGAAGTTCTTATAATTGCTACTCTAATATTTATTAATCTGTAATTCCGCTCAACGAAATGTTATATTCATAAGATACTCTAATTAAGGTTAATAATTTACAAAGAGCGGATTCTCGGGCAATTGACTTTTCGTTTTGACTATAGGCAAATACTTGAAAGTTGTATATAAATGTGTATCTAAGAAAAGCATTTTATTTGAACCTTATTTGTTTTTGCTTATTGGCCCATTTTTGATCAGGAGAGCCTTTTTTGCATCTTTTCGACCTATTTTACATTTTCTACATATTTTATTCTAAAATCTTAATTTTCTATAATCCTAAGAACATTTTTCTTGTCACATTTACTATACGGTACTATAAAGAAAGATAATCCAACTCGTGTTATAGGTAAAATCGAAGAACAAATTTTATTAAGTACTTAGGTAGGTTTTAAAATAATTAAATACACCAAGCCCTTCTACAACTTCCTTTTCCAGTGCTCTTCCTGTATCAACTAGTTCGTGTTGGGTTTTCGTAACGTGGAGTCCAAAAGTGTAAAAATCATCTAGGATTTTGACCCATTTTTAAAAATGGCCAAAGTCAAATCGTTTTCAAAGGGCAAGTTAAAATTAATTTGAAAAACAAAGTCGTTTTTCAAATGGAAAACGGCGAATTGTTCTCTAAAGCCTGTGGGTTACCATAATTTTAGTATAAATTATTATTAATATTGCACATTTCAAAACCAGCGAAATTAATTCCATTAATTCGCATAAAATATATCAATTTTTGAAAAATAAATAAATAAAATGTGTAAGTATTGTGTGATTTCATAGGAACGTAATATTGGAACATCCAAATTTTTGCTATTTTATGTATTTATTTATTTATTTATTTATTTTACATGTACTTTTGTAAGTGAATAACAGAGTTAGAACAGATATTGGGATTCACGATATTTGGATATCAGTAGATGAAACTACAAATGCTAATGGGCAATACGTTCCAACATTGTAGTGGGAAAATTATCAGTACAGGCAGCTAATACACCACATTTGTATTAATAATTATTATTAAAAAAAAACATTTTTCTCGAATCGATTTAAATTAACTTCGACTTGAATTACTGTTCAAATTGTATCTTAGTAACCTGAATCAGATTAGTTGTACTTACCAATGCAACATTGTTGCACATTTCGGGCAAATTTGATATGTGGTAAAATAAGTAATCTGATGTAAGCCTAACTTAAATTTGCTCTGTGACCCAATTTTTGAAATATTAAAGTTAAGTCAAACATAATAATAGATACACTAAAGGACAGTTTGTGGATTGTTCATTGCCTCCAGAACCTGTTCTGACGATATAAAAAAGTTCGTTTATTGCTATTCATAATTTTGTAATTCTAAATTAAAGGAAAGAGTTTAGGTTATTATGGAGTTTGACTCCACAGTGACAAAACGCATCGCCGATGCTTAGTACTATTTTCAACAAAAAAAGAGTAATTGTATAAATTCCGGTTGAGCAGGTGAAATGGCATTTAAAACCTGCAAGGTACTTTAGAAAAAAATATCTGATACAAAGAGCTTAATCTTGTCGGCAAAGTATTACAAGGTGAAAATGTACAAAAAAATTTAAAAATGAAATCAACAGAAACTTCTAATTTTAAATATAGTCCTCTAAGATCGTGTGATGTTGAGAGAATCTTCTCTAGGTATAAAGATGTCATAAAATAAATGTAGATCTCAAAAAAAACAAACGTTGCGTAAAATTTATTTTTTCTAAAACCTGCCTAAAACATCTATTTTGTAATTTTCGGACCTAGATTCCCCGTTTTTGTTGTCTATTTAAGACCTATTTTGGCTTTATTTAGCCTAAAATACGCTATTTAGTAATTTATTTATCGGTTATGCTCATTGTCATATTTTTGATGCTGTGGAAATATTGTTACAATTATTCGCCTGCGGCTCGCTCGTCAAAAAACGCATGTTAAATATGTTTAATTTGAGTTAGAATATCTAGCGTTTACGCCACAACAAAATTTTGATTAACGTTTGACGAAACGATATATTCCCATACAAATTAAATACAATCAAGTTTCAACTAAATTTCCAGAATTACTTTAAGTATTTACTTTTTAGTGAGTAAAAGTAATTTAAAAATGAAAACTATTATATCGGGTGTCTGGAAAATGGTTAATTAATTTTCCGCTACGCTCTTAAATGGTGCGTCTGTGAAAAACAATAAATAATAAATATTTGATTGAAAGTTGTTTCGACAGAAGTTCCCTCGCTCATATCCGCCTTTTCAAATTTTTAGATTTTTTTTTGCAAATTTTATTTTTTATGAGAACCTTTATATATCTAGAAATAAACATGTGTATATATGTAATATTAAAGTAACTGTCAAACAGCGTGCTACGCATGTATTTCAAATGAGTTTTTACTTTACAAAATTAGGTGATGGGGTCATCAATATTTTTTGCAAGGATACGTATATTAACTTGGATTGATGCAGTATAATACTAAATATTAACAGTATTGTATTGTCAAATTTTAGAGAAAATCGAGATTTGATCAATAAAATAAATTGTTTATTTTTGTTTAACTTGTTTAATTTATTTACGGAAATCTGCAATTTACAAAAAATTAAAGGGAAAAGAAAAATCCTAACAGTGATTGACAACAGCAACTTAACACTAACTTATTTAGCTAAATTATTGTGAGTATTACAATTAGCAAAGAAAAAAATGTATTACACATTCATATAAAATATTGATATTTAGCGTCTAAATTTTCAAAATTTGAATCAAAGACGAATACATTACCGTTGGAAAATCTGTTTGCGGCCATCATCATCATATGTAAACGATGTTTTCGAGACAGATTTGTTGATGCGTTTGAAAGACAATCGAAATAACAAATCCGGATTTTCAAACAACCATTAATCATATTGTTACGTTGATCGGTGATTAAAATCGGCGTGGGTAAAACTCAACAATTGATTTTTTAGTAATTCAAATTTACACAACTAATTACACAGCGTTTATGTACAAAATAATTCCGGCGCAACTTGACTGAATTGATTCACTGGACTCGACTGAAATCGTTTCCAAAGGTGGCCTCTGTTTAACCAATACTTGCTTCTAGATGTTCGGTGATCGGAATCGTTCTAGAATAGTACGAATAATTTTAAAGATCTTCGAGTCAGGAGCATAGAGTAAGTAACTAGTATATTGTAAATGACATACAAGTCATTTAAAAACAATAAAAAATGAGTAGGTCCACAACGTGTAGTGTACGGAAGACCAGAGAGTACGTCAAATGAGCGAGATAAAAGTTACCAATATGGACCTGTTGACTACTTAATCGTGTTATCTCGAAAACCAAGCTTATCCAACTTCATAATTAATAAGTTATGATTGACGCGCTCAAATGCTTTAGCAAAATCCTTATAGGCTGACTCTACTTGTAAACGATTAGAAAAAGCTTCATTTATAAATGATACATATTCAAGCAAATTTGATAGTGTGTTGTTGATCTGAAATTATAGAGGAAGAAACCCACGACAATTGACTTGTAACAATATAATCCAGTAATTTAGGAATAGCCGAATGATCACATACTCCCCCAATAGTCATCAATTTGATTCCTTTTACCCGATTTGAAAACTGGGAAAATGCCTTGCTTCAAAGAAGTTTTAAATAAAATATACACAGGCAAACTGAGTGAAAATTTGAAATTTTTTAAACAGGGAAACCATCTGGCCCAAAATTACAGGACGATTGTAGTTTACAAATTTGTTCAAAAACTTCACATACACTGATTTTTAAACCAACATCATTTACTTGCGTCTTCTGATCAAGTTTATATGCTGTCCTCCTATAATCCCCATTTGTGTAAACAAATGAGAAATAATCCGCAAAAAAATTAACTATGTCTTCTCCGCCTTTTAATTTCCAACAGGAAACTATTATTCGATTTCCTTTTGCTATTAACAAATCTACAAAAAATTATAGGATTCTCAGTTATATTACTATTAGTTTTTAGGATGTACATGTTGTATGACTGAATCATCATGTTTGCCAGTTTCTTTGTATCGACGATGAGTAGAAGTTTTTAAATGGTATAATTCTTTAAGTTCCTTACTGAACCAATTAGGAAATTGTCTAGCTTTGTGTTTAATAATTTTATATGGAATGTATTGCTGGAAACCATAATTTTTTTTGAGCCACCGGCATAAGCAAATCTAAAAAATATAAATGTAATAATAAATCACAATTCAGAGAGGATTTATTCGACAAAATTTTGAGATGGATAAATAAATACATTTTACTCGTATTTAAGGAGTTATCATGATTACAATAACCGCAACACGTTTGCAAGATTTCAAAGCATTCGGTTTTGCAGTTGAATATAATAAATTGAATTATTTACATCATAATTTGCA